CAAATGAAAACTGCTGTTGAGCCGGTTTTCCACCCGAACAAATATCAGGGCACAATTCACTGCCAGTTATTCTTTTCTGCTTATTAATAGAAATGAAACGTTCAAAATGAAATAACTGGGTTAAAACTGTTCTCAGGAAGTGCAAGCTCCCCTTATTCGAAAGGTTTTTTAGTACTGCATGTGCCTCCAATCTCCTAATAACGCGCTAGGATGAAGCACATCGCGTTCGGTCAAATTCTCTGTCAAAGATAACAGCAGTAGCATGAGTGCAACTCGTTACTTCCACTGTGCAGTGGTTTCCCATGAACCACATTACAGGACATTACCACGTTACCAGATGCCTTTCACAAGACGTACGATAAGAGGTTTTTGGCCACTCCCACTCGTGCCCCACCCATCTTAGGAATCCGATTTCACAATTTTTTTACAAGTAAAGTAAATTGCTCCTTACGAAAGGTCACTTATGCTCTGCAACGATCTTAATCGAGTTAACTTTGAATTAGCAAACGACCAGAAATTCCGAGGTCGATCTTTTCAATTAGTTTTTCAACTAACAAATTTACGTACAGTGTATTTGCATTTGTCGACATGGGTTGGTTGTGTGGCGTCCAAAATCGGGACGTGTTCCTTGACGAAGGTCGCCGCCACATCAATGGACTCCTAAAGCACTGACTGAGCTGACTTAAATTGTTTGTTATAACTTAGAATGAAAACAATCTAAAAGCCAAAAGCCAGATGGCAAAGAAAGCGCTATTAACCGTTTACCTCTTACTGCCCTACTTTCTGAAATACAGGCCACATTTTTACCATAATTTTCCCTCGTAGAAAATTTGGTCAGAATTTAGCTCTCGGATGTATTCTGACTCGCTAAAAATATCGAATCTCCTTGAGGCAAAAGCCTGGCTTTCGGAGGTACGAACTCCGGCGCCACAGGCTAGATCTGACTAGATCACCCTGGTGCACGCACTGGCTCTAGATCGCCCTGATGCACGCACCGCACCAAGCAAGCGTGATATCTCAGTTCAGCTAATCAAGCTATCCTTGAGACCCCCTCCATTTTTAGATGCTTTGCCATGGGCGCTTGAAGGTTTCAAGTGTAGGGAATTTGACGATCGTTTTCAGGGGTTGGAGAGTACAGGGGACGAAAACCCACCCAATCCTACCTCCTGAGAAAATTCCGGTCGAAAATATAGCCTGAATCCCGAAGAGTGCTGCAGTAAAGGGTGACTAGCGCCATGTATCCATAGAGACTAGAATTTTCGCCGAAATATCACCTAGCACTGACTTGAAAATCTCACTCAAACCTTTATTGAATGATTTGTGTGATGACTATGGTCTACCTGCTTCTTACTGGGCTGAAAAATAGCGTCTTGAAAATGTACACCTACCTGCGATGGTACGTCAGGATGTTTCTCCCCGTCAATAGGTACTCCATGATGTGAGCAAATCTACAACATGCAAATTAGTTATTAATTAACTAATTTGTATCTTTATGAAATCTTGGCTCGGGCGGTGATAAAGCAGAGTGCAAGTGGCCTCACATCTACACGCATAACTCCGAATCAGGTCGCGAATGAGATTAGACTAAGCTGGCCTTCAGTCCCATGCGAAAGGGCCGATGGACGTCAGGTAAGCGGGACACGAGAATAACAACAGTGTTACATTAGCACGTCCACATAATTTCTTGGCAATATTCCAAATTCGCATTGAAATGGAATCAAGGTAAACATATGTAGAAGTACTTGTGGGTGGGCGGAAACTCGTTTTTTTTTGGATTGAAC